GACCCCCCCCCCAAAGGAAAAAAAAAAAAGAAAGAAAAAAAAAAGGAAATTAGCCAACACACAACTAATCTATACCTCAAAGTCAACCTCAAACAAGATTTGCTTTTATTCTCAGTGAATAATTAGGTTTGTAAAATCAATGAAAAATACAAGTTTACTCAAGAGAGTGATGAGACTAGAAACAGAGCATGCAATTCCGATAATTAATGAGACAGAATTTTTTTTCCACAAGACCACCTAGGGAAATTAGATAGGCTTTTAAAGATCAACCCTGTTTCAAAGGAAAGCCAGTGTGTCTGATTATTTCTACAGATTTATTTCTTGGAGGCTCATTGAGCTGAGCATATTTCAAGGGGATATGAAGGAATTTCAAAGGGATATGAACGTATAGGATTATTTGCTGACTTTTTTGAAAGGTTGCACACTCAATCGTTTGAACATGATTTTCCTTTTTGCTCATTGGTGTGTTACAAGATGGTTAGTGATGCAATTCATGTTGACTTAGATTAAAAGCATGGAACATTTCTCATGCTTCACTGCAAATATCCTACACATTTTTAACAATAATTTTTATAAACCTCATTTTTTTTACTGTTATATAGTGACTTTCTCTGTTGTTTCCCTTTTGTTAAAACATCAGTCAGATTTCAACATTTAAAATACCAAATTCACCAAAATGATTAAAATGTGTTTATACCAATCTAACTCTAAGAATTTATTCTTATAAAGAAACACATACAAAAACTTATTTATCATTAATTAAAGCAATAAATGGCCACAATAACCTTTAACATTGTACGTCTTGGTTTGACACTAACTCATATACTGCTATCAGACACTGTGTACAACTGCAAAATATAGTTCTGTTTAGCTTTAACATTTTGTTATTCATCACAGTTTTCAGTGCTTCTAAAATGATCAGTAATTGTTAACTCACTATTAGCTAATAATCAGCACTGACCCACTCCCATTTTCAGTATAGTGACCCTCTCCCATCTTCAGTATGGTGACCCACTCCCATTTTCAGTATCGTAACCCACTCCCATTTTCAGTGTAGTGACCTACTCTCATTTTCAGTACAGTTGTGCTCCAATGTCATCTCAAAGGCATTATGCCACCGAATGAACATGTGGGTAAGGAAGAACGAAAATTGAAGAATAAAAAATAAATAAGAATAAAAATAAAAATTTTTTGTCATCAGTGTGCATGCAGCTGTCAACTGCTGGTTTCTACTGAAAACTGAGTACCTTACGCATTTATAAGATCTACCATTCTTTTTACCATTATAAATGAATCCTTTTCTACATACCATTACCAGTCAGAGTAACAATACTGTACTTTACTATATAAAAATAAATTAAGTACATGGAAATCCAGCCAATCACTTCTAGACTCAACAGTTATGGAAAACTCCACAACAGCAGGTCCCTTGTGTGGGTTTTAATGTAAATGCAATAGATGATAATCAAATTGAGGCAGGCATTGCCCTGTTAGAATTTAAAGGCAAATCTATTTAATGACAATCAAATTTATTGATTTCCTTCCAATTTGTTACCAGCTTGCAGTAAGAGGCTTAACTGGGCTGAGCAAGATATAAGGTGCGATTACACAGAGCAAGTGAACACAAATTAATTAGTTCAGCCTTGATTCTGTGACTGTATTATAATTATGTTCAGATATGCCTGAATATCTCTTTGATGGTTTAATGGTTCTAAAAAAAAAAACACCTTAAATAACTTCAAAATACCGCAATAGTCTACCATACTGTATATTATGCATACATGTAGTCCTGTGTAGGAGGAAACCAAATTGGGTGGTGTAGCTGGCACAGAATGAGCTGCAAGCTGAGCCAATGTCCTGAAACAGGTCAGCAGCTCAGCAGATAGGTTCCAATGTGTGCTGGCCTAAATGTAATCAGTTAATGCAGCTTTGTATGAATTATACAAGAGGGCCTGCAGTTATCCCCGAGAAAAGGCCACCATTATGCCTTTTATTACATACACATTGATCCTGGGTAAGTGGCCATGGGAGGGTTCTGGTCAGACTTACATACAGACTTTTTTCCATATGACACATACTGTATATATGTTTTTAACATGTTCACACACACACACATGCATGCACACACACACATACACGTATTATGTTTTATCACTTGTACCTGGTGGTAATTTAGGGCTGTTTAACCAGATTTAACAGTGATTATAAGTTGCACTGTGCTAGCTTTCTAAGGTTTCAAAATCAATGCAACATTGCTAGTTTTTCTTAAAAAAAAAAAAAAAAACAAAAACAATTTTTCTGTCAATATGATGCTATTCCTGGCTGTGGGACAGGAAAGGATCAGTATCCATTTCAGTGTACTGTATTATTATTGTTGGTTATTTTGTATCTTTGCATTTGGGTAGTAAAAACAGAAAAAATAATCATCCAAGCGAAAGACTATCATTGCTTCTACAATGTTTGTGTAACACTAGATGTTTGAGTGTTTCCTGTGATGTCAGTCTACAGAAAAAAATCCTATTCATTGCATCCATATATCAGTTGCAGATGACAACACCTACATAACAATGTAGTGCTTTATCACACAACAATACATCATCTTCTAAAATAACACCATATTTAACACACCTGTCCATGCCACCTACATGTATTTCTCCATGACAGTAACAGTGACAATTAAACCTCTCTTTTATTTAATTTTTCCCACTTGTTTTTAAAACTGTAAACATAACTTCATTAACTGCAAATAAAATGTTTCTCTTTAATATTTAAATTTGAAAATCCAAGTTTTCTACCTACAGGCGTGTCATTCGGTTGAGCTGACTGCACTTGGCGAGTGTCCCTGCGGAGTTGGGTCGCTTCACACAGACTGATGGTGTCTTTGTGAATGGGGTCCAAAATGTCACTGAAATGTTTGCTCACAAAACCAAATAAAAAATCTGCATCAGAGATGTATGAGCACAGAACCACTGCTTTCACAATTCATTAAGAAAAAAGAATGAGAAACTGGTTTTCCTGTCTTACATGTGTCATCCATTTTAGATCTATTCAAAATAAAAAGTAACAGGACCCATACCAAATCAGACCAGTATGATTATCTGATCTGAAAGCATAGTTGTCCGTGACAACCAGGCGATGCTTTATTACATGCCCTGTACCAACTGGAACACTGGAGAGAGAGAGAGGTATTAAAGGAAGGGAAATTAATAAAATTAGAATCTAGCGAGGAAAGTATCATGGGAGCTGTACGCATCACCATCCTACCCTCCCACCTAATTCTCTCATCACATTATTTCATTATTGATTTCAACGTGGGCCACACGAGTACACAGGACATCCATTAACGAGAGGGACCAAAAATCAATCCGTACGGACAGGCAACCATTTGAAACTCGATCAGGCACTTTCTTCACCAAAATGGCTAATTAATGAACAAGTTGAATCAATAGTCTTCTGGTACTCTGTAAATCAAAGCTGTCTGGACCTTACCATGAACTATCAACCCCTGAAAGTCTGAAAACCTTTTTTTTAAATGTATTTGTACAAATGTAGCACTGCGATTTTGATTTTTTTTAAAGATGAAAGAATGTAATTGATAGCTGCTGATCTGTAGTTATGATCGACAGATATAAGGAACATGCAGGGTTTTTTCAAATGGGACATTTTTTTTCTACTGGTGCTTGGTAGATAACTTTGTGAGGCCATAGCTACCAGCACATGTAGGTAATGGATGGCTGGTAACTTAAACCTTTGTATGGACACTCAATGACCAACCAATGACCAGTGGCCTTTAACAAGATCAGACATTAATTATAAATGCTTTTTGCATGCTAAACAAATCAAGGCATTTATGAGCTCCACTGTGTTGGAGAGCCCTTCAAATGAAAAGCCCTTGAGAGGAATTTAAAAGTAAAACATTATCAAAATAGTTATTATTTTGGAATGTTTAATTTTTTAAGCAACATTATCTACTAATTAAAGGATCAAAAATCAGTGTCGACATATATCAGCAGTTAAATCAAATTCTACTATATTTAGAAAAATCACTTGGGCATCAAAAATTGAATAAGGCTTTTCCTGCAACTAAACAGCAGTGCCTTCCTGCTTTATAAATCGCTGTGCTGTCTGATAGGTCGATCAGATGTTACGATCTACTCGCAAGAAACGCATAACAAACTTGTCATCTGAGCATTCCTCAAAGGACCAGACAGACAAATTACTAAAAATTTCAGAACAACGAAACTGAGGAACAAAGTTCATATAATATAAAGCAATGACAAACATTGTTTAAAAAAAAAGAAAAAAATATTCACACTGTGTACACAGTCAACATAGAGACCAGTATTGAAACAAGAACAAATTCAGGTAGTGCAACTGCATTTGCATGGAATTCTTGGAAAACCATTGAACTAAATTAAGTCCTTGAGATATATCTATGTACTGTATGTGCATGTAACTGGACTTCATGCAATTATTAGATCATATTTGCTTGGAGGGTTCTTTAATTAGTTACTTTTCTTAAAGTAATATCTCACTGTTTTACAGCCAACAATTACATGATAACACACACCCACACACACTCACTTTCCTGTGACAATAATTTCTGTTCAACCGTTTGATTTGTTTACCTCAAAAGTGTTAAGTGATCTCCATGTCTGCATTTAGATGAACCCTAAGTGTTGGCTGATTCACAACTTAAATGCATGTGCAGAAGATCAAATTGATTAATCCAGGATTGACATTTCTGAATTGGAAGTCGGGTCTCTCTATAACACCACTCTCTGCACCAAGAGACAATTAACCACTCTGTCTCACCCATTCAACCATGGGGCATCTGGATATGATCACATATTTAACCCTCTTGCTAAGCATTTTAGACTTATCTTAAAACTTGTCTGAACGCAGCTTTAATAAACTTTTTCTGACAACTATATGCATTGTTTGGTGCCACAAAGGAATAAGTCCAGTTACGTCTTTGTTGACTTTTCATTTCCCCGGATATTGGAATATTGTCATTAGATATTCTGACTGCCCTGTTGGACACAGTAGATAATGTCAGAGTATATGTGACAATTGAAAAGGTTAGCTTAACATTAATAAGTGGTCATTTCAATACATCACTTTAACACCTGATGGGTTTTGTAAATGACATTGGTGGATTATATATTAAAAAAAAAAAAAATAAAAAAAAAAAAAAAAAAAAAACAACCGGTACACTGTTGCTAAGACAAAACAATTTTGAACTGTTGGATAAAATCAGTAATTTGAACAGCTATCAAATTTGACTTGGGTTTCATGATACATGTGAATTTATTCTTATCCCTACTCAACAAACAAACAAATAAATAAATAAATAAATAAATAAATAAATAAATAAATAAATAAATAAATAAAAATCATGGGATAAAAATTGCCTTTAAAGTTTGAGGGAGTTAAAAGGCATTTCTCCATTATTGATAAGAAACTGCATTGATTTTTTAATTAAGATCCCATGGCTACCACACTGCCTCAGAAAACTTACCAGTTCTGAAAACTCAGGGTAGTACTTGATATATGCGTCCAAATAATCCCACTAGCACTTCTGGCATGACTACAATATCTCTTATTCATAAAGCTTTTAGATATTGCGTGCTCCCGATTTCTTAATGCAATTATATAATATCTAAATATGATAACTCATTCTACACAAAACTGATTAGTTCTGTTGCTTTGTATTTGCTGGCAAGCCATTTGTATGGCTTTGAAAGAAGGCTCATGGAGTAAGCCAGAGGGAAAGCAGCTTATTAATTTTAAGTGACAGAAAGATGAGGGATTGTGTCAAATTTGATCAAAGTTTGAAGAAAAAACTGTGTGAATTGGTGTAATTGTTGTTAATGATGAAAATTGCCAAGGAAATAAGGATACAGAAAAAAATGTGACTCAAGACCTGATTTCTTTTAATTTCAAATATGACTCTTTGCCATAAAATATCTAACTAAATAAATAAATTAAAACTAAATAAACAAACAAGCAAATGAACAAACCAAAAAATAAATAAGTATGTCATGACTCACCCTTGGAAAATCTTATCAACGAATATCTTCATAAATTCCTTGACCTGGCGGCTGTGTTCATCTAACTGGCTGTCTGAACTGAAAGCAGACGCCCAAGACTGTCCAGACATTTGGGATTCTGATCGCTGTAACACTTCCCCACCATATTCTACCTCTGAGGAACTGACGCTGCTCATCCTATGCAGCAACCCCTCCTCTTCATCATCATTAAAATCCATCAAATCCTCACCTTTGGGGTCATTTTCAGTGTCAGCTGGAGCAACCATGACCCCTTCGCGGTCAAATGTGAATTCCCGCACAGCCTCGCCTGGGCTAGGGGTTACGTCCACCCCGGGTGCCAGCAGCACTTCCTCTTCATCATCCGAACTAACCAATAAACTATTCCTCCGTTTACCTCTGCGGCGTCCTCTCTCATCGACAAAGGTATCCTTTAGAAAGATATCCTCTCCAGAGAAGCTCTCCTTCTTTTCCAATTTTGGCCGAGGTGGCCTAGGTGGGCGGACTTTTTTGTTGCCATCTTGCTTTGACCCTGCCGTCTGCCCTTCTTTCATTTTATTCAAATGTCTAATTTTGGTTCCTGGATCAATGGCATTAGGGACGCCATTATTCAAATCGACCCCATCTTCTAAATAATTATTCAGTGAAGCATTATCTTGGTCTGTTTTATGAACATGTGCGGATACTACCTGACCATGAGACATCTGTCCATTGGGAATGGTTTCTGTTGGCTTTCCATTTTCTGTCATTCCTCCATTTAATGACTCTCCATTAGGCGAAGAAGTTGGAGGACTTGAACCAGAAGAGGAAGTTGTGTGATTAGGAGACGTAGTCGCAGAGTCCCTTTTGCCCAGTTTAAGGGTGACATTATCCAGTTTTGATGAGATGTCGCTGAACAGACCATTTTTCATCGCACCAACAGAACTGAAGAGTGAAGAGGCGCCACCGGAGAAACTGGCTCGCAGATTTGACGGGTGAGGTGGTGGTGATGGTTTCTCATCTTTAATTGGGGGTTCTGTTTCTCCGCCCTGGGAGAATCTTCGCAAGAAATTCATCTTGAATGATTAGTGAAAATGTTTGTAAGTATTTCCCTGCAGCTTCAGAGAAAAGTTCAACGGTATGTTGAATTTTTTCTGTCCTTTGGTGAATTTTTTACTGACAGCAGCAGGTGATAACTGAATACAGAAGCAATGAGCCGTAAATGTTGTTTTTCTGTCCTCTTGTTTTAAAGGTCTCTCAGAAATGGAAGTTACACCAACTTGGGCAGATCAATAAATCTGCATGTAATAGAAGTGTGCCTGTGAAACCCACTAAAAACTGTGGTCAAGAAATTCCAGTCAACAACCTACTCATGGAAGGCAGACGTAGTAAAGCAAAGTAAAATGTATTCCAAGATACCTTATCACGCTGTAAGCTCAGATGTCAAAAACAATCCTTAATGTCCTCTTGCTATTTTTGAGTATATATACTTTGCTACTGCCAACAAATCCATAAAAGTTTCATCCCAGTGCAATTTTTCTCGTTGGCTGGAAGTCATCTGAAATGATATGGAAAATTTTCAATAATCTAGGAAAAATGAGACCACATAAGCCTGTATTCAGAGTCGGCAGTCTTAACCATGAAATAGCTCTCCTATGGAATGGTCCTTCCTACTATTGATTTTCCCCATGTTTGTTAAGCTTATGCAGGGCCCTCTCTGCGAGTTGCACTCTGGGATGCATGAGCAAATGGAACAATTTGATTGGATTACAGGTTAATTTTTTGAAGAAATTTTAAACAAACACGCAACTATGAAAACAATATTGATTAACTCCTGGGAAAGAGGATTGGGTATAAAATCAAATGTCTCAGAAAAATAATCGGACAAATCTTTTGATGTTTTAATATTCAGTCCACTGCCAATCAAAAGGAGAATAAGCTTAATACAGCTATAAAAGAGATAAGCTCCTGCTGATTTACCCAATAGTCATTAAATAAGTGACAAGTTGCCCTTCCATAAGTGATTCAGTGTTTCCATGGAGTATATATGCATGACTCCAGGCCACCAGTGCTAATCCAGCCTCGCCAGAAAAATTTAAAACTTAATTACTGAAAAAAAAAAAAAAAAAAAAAAACCAAGGCTACAAAGTTCATCAGTCTGCAAGAAAAGAACTGGAAGGAAATAAAACATACAGCATATTTCTGTCAACAGTTTGTTTTTTAACACCACTGGATAGTGGTTTCTGTGCAACAATTGAAACAAAATGTCTTTTAATAAAACTGTGACAGTTCAAAGCTATAGACAAAAACATATGTACACTATCTATCTGATCACATTTGTAGTCATTTTAAAGGAGATAGCTGCAATATTTTTGAGGCAATTTTAGTAAATTTTGGAAGTACCTGTACAATACTATTACAGTCTATTATGTTTTTATGTTTTTACAGGTGATGCAAAATTCAAGGTAGCGAAGTAAAAAAAAAAAAAAAAAAAACCCACACAACTACACATACAAACATTTTTTTTAATCATATTAACAAACATTTTTTTAATCAAAAAATCCTTAAACACATTTCACACAAAATTCTCTCTCTCTCTCTCTCTCTCTCTCTCTGTTTTTTGGTCTCTCCACAAAAATCTAGTGAGTAATTAAGAAAATCATGAATTGATCTGTCTAGTTTCACTGTGGACACAAGACAAATCATCTCACTGAATTGAAAACATCGTTTTTCCTCTCTCAGTGTTACGATATTGACTACGGAGGTTTACCCCCTGTGACATCTGCCAATAACTACATGATCAAATTATTCTAACACCTACGAGGCTGAACAACATAAAAACAATCAAGATGTGGCCCTACAGGGCTTCAAGTATTACCTTTTACATGTAAGAATTCCTTTACCAAGACAATGTTTTTTTCCAGAAAGATGACTGGATTCTATATTGGTAATAGCTAGTCTCAAGTGAACAACAGCTATACGTACATGTACATATAACTTGAATGTGATCTGAATGTTAGAAGGCAAAACACACATACACAATAAATAAATAAAATAGAATAAAAACAACGAAAGTGATGTGATGATAGTGACATCTGTCCCTTCATAATCATAAAACATTCACCTGACAAATTTACAACACTTAAAAAAGTTTTATACTGGTGATACTGAATGAAACAGGAATTGAAACAAATGCCTTCTAGTACACATCAATTTATGTTCCAAATAACTAAATTGTAAAATTTAAAAAAATGACAAATTGGTCCAACTCACACGAGCACTGAAACATGTATACAGAATTGAAGTAACAGATTCTTTTCTAAAAGAGGTCGAGGCTATCGACTGAATCTAACCCCTCTGACGTCTGCTAGCAGCATCAGATCAATACTCTCAAACCTTCCTTTCATTTTTCCACTGACAAAATTATTGATTTCAATCCCTCTTAGAGATCAATCTCATCTTCTTTATCCACCTATAGGTCCTAAAAAGTAATCAGCTTTCACTTCACGTATATCAATAAGACTGGGTACTCTAGGCAGTATACGGGATCAATGATAATTCTTTTATCCATTTTAGGACCATTATAAGGCCCTACTGTCTGGATTTACAGAAATATACTCGTGGTATATATTCTGTGAGAGAAATCACAGATTCTCACTGATTAAAATTCATGAGTTTTTATCAAGAAGTGTTTTCTGAGAAATTAAAAAAAATCTTATGGTCAAATAAACTCTAACAACTAGACACAATGAAACAAATGTTAGTGCTTAAATAGTGAAAAATATAAAACTCTAATACAAAAGTGAATTTAATGTCAAAAAGAAAAAAAAGATAAGCTAGAAACAACTGGTTATTAAATATATCTATGAATCAAAATAATTTATTTTGAATCCTAGAATATATATAGCAATTTGGGTTATGACTGTAATAATAATAATGGTTTGAATAAATGGAAAGATGATGCTGACATAGGGCATTATTGGAATAGAACTGAAACGTGATCAAAATGCTTTAGTAGAATACATGTACTTTGCACCAATAAATTACCCCCAATGCCCTCATTTACCACCCTGAGTTAAACAGCACCCCTGAGGCCTGGACACTTGAGTCTCTACTATCTGAAACTCAGGGTGGCAGACAGTATGTACATTGTACATGTACAGTAAAAATATCTCTACATTTCAAATGCAAAAAGATATCAGGATATATAATTTAAGGTAATCAGAGGTTCTATAGCATATGGGAGGCAATGGGTGTTGAAATTACCCATTGTCAAGATAAGACAATTCATACTTAGGAGCACTGCCAAATCTGTCTGATATAAGGCCCTGGTAATTAATATTTAAGATTTATAAATGGTTTTTAATTAAATCAATGGAAAAAGATGAAGATGACCAGGGATTAAAATGGCCGATGTGCAGTGGGAATTTCCTTTTAGATGAAGGAGGTCCCAGTGAGTCACATAGGCCTACATGTTTTACTTTGGTGAATGAGTTTGCATTGCTGTTTGGTGATGCAATCTAGCTGTGTACCAAGTCTAACTTAAAACCTTGTCTGAATGCAACCAGTAAAACTGCCAGAACCAATCAGTGAGTGCCAAATATTCTTCATTTGCCAATGTTTGCTCAGAGAAAATACAATAATCCCACTGAGACTGTAACAAGTGGAAGTTAAAGGGGATGATTTATTGGTGGGAAATGCACCATGAATTGTACTGGTGATTTATATATATTTTTTTTCATAAAAAGCTTGAAAATATCAAATTTAATCCCCATTCTCTCAGAGTATGGCATTTTAGATAATAAAATCAGTGTTGTAGTTTGGTAAATTTAACATTCACTAATAATGATAATAATAATATTAAATAATTATAAACTTAATTAGAATAAAATTATAGTTAAAATTTTAAAACTCTACCATCTCTATACATAAACAAGTTTTTATTAAATTTACATTTCCATTCACTCCTGACTTTACTATAATTATATATTAAGTAACATCATTCTATAATTCAGCAGCACTACAGATTACAAGTGCCAGATTGAGTAAATTTGCAACATTCCAATTCAATTTATATCAGTATTGATATCCGCAACATGATAAAATCAGCAGTACCAAAGAAAAAATTATATTTCTTTGCACATGGGATATTATTCAAAGTTATAAAGAAGAAACTGCCATTCTGAATAATGGAGTAAACAACAAAACAGACTGGGTGATATATAGGATTAAAACCAAGTTCAACCAAAAACTATTGTTCTAAATCTATGCATAAATGCAAACACAATGTACAAGTTACAATAGACAGAGTCTTATATCAAACCATTTTCAATGAAAAACACTACTCTAAATGCCGTAAAGAATACACATGATTTTCTGAAAACAGCCTTGTATGGAAACCAAATTCAACCAAAAACTAACATTCAATTTGACAAGCAGTGTAAACACATTTGAGAGACTATAGTGTTTGGGCTCAACCAAAGTTCAACCATTGACAATAAAATACGACAATAAGATATGAGCATAGGAACCGTAGCAACATCACACCATTTCCCAAGAGATATGACTTCATATTAAAAGCTATTAATATACAGAAAGCAATCACCATAATGGTTTTATGCCCCAAAGTAGCAGACAGTTAAGTACTATTAAAGCACAGAAAATACTCGAAAATAAAATAAAAAGAACAGATGGACAACAAGCACTGCACGATCCTCAATATTGAGATGAGTTATTTTCCAGCAACATCCAACATGTCAATGCAAATTTTAAAAATTACTGGAAACCTGCAGGGGTTGATTGAGGTGGTCTTTTGGGTCTTCCGGAAGACGGTCAGAGATTTTCAAGTTAACATTGACAGTATCTAATTTTTTCTGTCGGAAGACAGTCAAAAATGGAGGATGGATCAACAAAGCTAATTTGAAAGACTGACAGAAAATATCTCTGGATCCGCCCCTGACATGGAATCATTTTTTTATATGTTATGTTGTTTTATTGTTGACAACAGATCTGCCATGTTGTTCTGCTTTAAGTGTTGTTCTTTAAATTAAAAAATGTTAAGCTTTCAAGCAATAAGAGAGATGGTGGAGGGGAAGGGGCACCTTCTGAGTATATACCACCAACTGAGTATGGTCGATTTGTTTTCAAGTATTATTCTACTTTTTGTAAACTGAAAAACAATAGATATAAACGTTGTGAAAACCATTATGTTGTCAACACTCCACTCCAACACAGTTTTCAAAAAAGACAATAACACTTAGACTAATCTCTAAGGCCATTTAACGGAGTCAGAGATACTGCAATTTTAAACATATTCAATCATTTAAAGTCAGAGGAATGATACAATCCAACGTCAACATATAATGAGTTGATTGCACCAAATAAATATTTTATCCAGTTAATTGCCACTTTCTAACATTCTAATCATGATCCACTCTCCTGCTTTGAAACTGAGGCACAAATTTAAATGTAATTCTTCTTTACATCTTTCTAGTCTAAGACCCCATTCCCACAGATTTTAGATCGATCTATCCCCATGGGGAGTCTCACTAGATTACT